ATCTTTAAGCCGCTCCTCAACACACCCAGAAACGGACAGATCTAGACTCTGCTCAAGGCTTTGAAAATTGTGGTAAAAAGAGCCAAATTAGAGTCTGTGCTCGCAGACTATTTTTGCAGCACGTAGGAAGTTTACCACATACTTGTGATTAAGGTTTTACATGTAAAAATACAATGTAGGATCTCCTATTATTTCCCTTCCAGCCCAGGGCAGTTCTGCTCCACAAACAACCTTGATTGATTGGCAAAACATGATGTTTCTGTTTCAAAATTAATTCATCATTCAATCAGGTAGGGATTACTGGCACAATAACAAAACTGAAATTATGCTCTCACTTCATCCTGGTACTAAAATAATTGATTGGGTGACCTTTGACCTTTAAAGGTACTATGTCCCTTTTGCAGCCAACCTCAAATTCTGTAGAACTTTGCAGGAATTATGAATATGTCATGTATGTCCTATCTGTGAAATATAAACCTTAGCAGTGTCCTCATATTCAAATTATGCAAGGAAACCCGTTTACTTGCTAGACTTCACTGTCAGACACTATTGAGTGACTGACTGGCTTTTTTTCATTTTTGGTAATAACATACATGAAAAGAGTTGTAAAGGGTACATGAGCATTTGTCTACATCAATAACCCACTTCTTGTGATGGCCAAGATTAAACTGATTGAATCTTTGAGCAGCATAAAACATATGACCATTTGGTACAATTGTCTGAAAATCAAGACTATTACTTTTGGGCTCTATAGCCCTAAAGTCGATTTGACAAATAATAGTCGTTATTTTCCCACTTGAAGACATTTTCAAGCCCCACCTTTTTAAGGAAGTTCTACATGTAAATTAGTATTATCTTTCAAATGCAGTTGGAATTTAACTTTTTCATTTTTTTGGCCTGCAAATGGGACATAGTACCTTTAAACTCAGTTCACTCTCTATAAAAATACTCACTAGTATTCAGATTTTTATTTTATTTTCATTTTTATAAGAACAATGGCTCCCAGTAAAATGTACCACGGTGGCACATGAAATAATTCTGTTAAGTGTCTACCTTAGCTGACCTTTGACCTATAAGATGACATACATGTACCTGTAATGACCAACAAATCAGTCTATACAATTGCGTGAATTCTGTGCTTTGTTAACTCCAAGATGGCGAGAGAAACTGCTCCTTCTAGTACACACAAATTCTTGAGATATAAAAAAAAAAATAGGATTTTCAGACTGATAGAGAAATTGAGAAGTTCAAGAACAATTATAAGTACCAAGAACCAACTTTTGTGGCGGAGGCATCAACTCAAAACAGACACTTACATGTATCAATTCAATTCTGTATTTAACTCAATGGTGGGAAAGTATACGGATACAAGTACAGATCTACAGGTACATTTTAACTCTAACTTTGGCTTTCTACATGTACTTCAGGGGGAAATTCGTCTGAAGCGATGACAAAAAAAAACCTGCCGATACTAGATCCAACAAGATCCGGCAGGATGTTTTTGACTCAGTCTCTCCAAATCCTTCTCCATGAAAACAGATCAAAAAGGAAACAATAACTCATGGCACCTATCCCACGATGCATCTGTGCAATGTGCAGTAATACTATCAAAACTAATCTTACAGCCCTTTTTGTTTCTGTGTAGTGGGAATCTTATAAGAGGTACATTCGTTGAAGGTACTATCTGAGGAATAATTTAATTACTCAATTCCATAGTTCATCTGATTCAAAACTAGCTAGAAATAATAAACAGCCCGACGTGCACAATGCGCTTTCCAGAGAATGTTGTGACAAAAACAGAACGTAGTAGCTTGTTTTTCCCCAAACAGTATTAACACACAATGGTGTTAAGATTATTTCTGGGAGAATTTGCATGTACATGTTTACATGTACATGCATGTAGCAGTACTTACTTAGTCTAGGTGTACAGGTTTTAAGAAGCTCCATATGAAATAAACTGTCAGAAGATATTAAAGGTACAGACCAGTTCTGGTCATGCGATTGCATTGTGAAAGAAACGTTGTGGAATCGATCGAAAAAGGTTGATCATCTAGCACAGGCCTTCTCAACTGGCGGCGCGCGCGCCACTTGTGGCGCATGCGGTCAGTTGGAGTGGCGCGCGGCTGTTCCAAGAAATTAATAAAAAAATTAATAAAAATAAAAATTTAAAATTAAAGAAAGAAAAATCAAAAAACTATATTCTAAAATTAAAAAAATCAGCAAAATCAAAAGGTCGCAGTCGAAGTAGAGTCCAAAATGTAACCAAGCCATTTTGTTTGTTTGATTTTCACTTGATTTTGACATTTTCCGTCTTTATTGCACCACATTAACTACATATAAATTTACTTCCATTTACCCAGGAATTGTACTAATTATTTCACTTCAATATGAAATTGTGATTGATATTTTATGGAATAGAAAGGTGTTAAAAATGCCACATCTTGGCCTAAAAAAGCCCTAAAATCCACTAGCTTCCAGGGTTTCGCCCCCTGTACCCCACCCGGTATCGGCTACGCTCCCTCGCATCACAGTCACCAAACATACAGGTTGGCACTTCAACCTCATTACATTTTTGTTTTGGCACTTCTAATAAACTAGTTGAGAAGGCCTGATCTAGCATATACATTGTGTAAGTATTTGTGTGTACTGCAAGGTTCTGGATAGTGCTGTAGTCAAACGTTAAACCGTCCGGTATCCGACCGCCCATGGCGGATTCCGTTTTCAATTGGACGGTTTCGTTTTCCCGTTTTTTTTTTTTTTTTTTTTTTTTTTTTTTAATAATTTTTTTTTTTTAATTTTTTTTTTTTTATTTTTTTTTTTTTAAAGTTTCGATTTATGCCCCTCCACCTGGCACTATGCCTGGCAATGTCTCCCAGCTCAGTAATCGGTGTGATGACTTACCACTTGGAAACTAGAACAACACTCCAATTTGTCTGTCATCTTGGTTTGAAAGTAATCTTTGTAATAGATCTCAATATATATTCATCCAAGTTTAACACATGGTGTACCACAAGGTTCTATCCTAGGTCCTCTACTGTTTTTAATTTACTTTAATGATCTTACACATTATTCTAAAACGACATTGTTACTATTATTTGTGACCAGTTCACAAGCCCAAATCGGCGCCTTCAGTTAAATCACCTTTCTGCTTTTTCACACGGCAAAAAAAAAAAAAAAAAAAAAAAAAAAAAAAAAAAAAAAAAAAAAAAAAAAAAAAAAAAAAAAAAAAAAAAATAAATCGTTTAACCGAAAACCGTCCGGTTTTGACAGGCGGTTAAACGGAATTGGAGATATCCGTGATGTTACAGCACTAGTTCTGGAATCATCAAAATGATAACAAATTTGGCCCAGTCTTGGTAAAGTTACAAGCACTGTACACAGAAAAATGTAAATGGGGCTATGCGATATCTATCCAGGCCGGATAGATACGATAACATACCAAATATACCAATTAGTAGCCGGTTTCCCGGCAAAATTTGTATCATCACGTATTAGTCAAAACATATTCTTTTACATGGTTGGTAATAAGAGCTTCTATTTCATTTTTTGAGAGGGGGGCGTTTCCAAAACTGGTCTTTACCTTTAACACTACTGGCACATCATTTTAAAGGCTTTATAAAGTCAAACTAGTTCAAACTGAGATTTTAGGCATTACTACCGTACTCTCACATTTAAAAAGAAACGACAGGTTTATTTTCAAAGTACAGTCAAACCTGCTTAAGTGACCACCTGTCTACAAAGACCACTTTTGTGTTTCCCTTGGGTGGTCACTATAGACAGGTTTGACTGTACCACTTTTTCTCATTTACAGGGATATTCTGAAAATGAGTTTATTAGGCAAATCAGCACTACTTCTATTTAATTTTGTTTTGTTGGCTTTTGATCCATTCAATTACATTTCCAACTACCAACTTGTCTTAAGATGTGCCACTGGCATTTTTTAACGGATTTGTAAGTATTGACGACTGAACATGCTACGTGTTCATGTGTGATGACTATTTCCATGTGAAGTGGACTTCCACTACCGGTATTTGTCCAAATCAGAGCTAAAGAGTTCCATGTGCTGGTACTACCACCACCCCCATTTCTATGAATTGTTTGTTGTTTTGAGAATGATGAAACTGAATCTATTTAAAAACTTTCAGTTCCCAAAACGGCACTCCATGTACAAACACGCATAAAAGCCATCATGTCTAAATAAAGAAACTACCCTACCAGCACAAGTAAACAAATGATGTAGTACATAATACATATTCAGATGAAGCAAGATTACTCAAAATTTACCACTGAGAATTATATTTTTATGCATCTCTCCAATATGTATGAGTATCCCTGAGATTTTAACATTCTGAAATTTACTGAATTTAAGCTGTTTGGTCAGTTCTCCTTCTCCAACTCATAGTACCCCTTCTACTTCTCCTTCTTCTTCTTCCTTTTTTTCTTCTCCTTCTTCTTAGGCCAAATAAAAAAAAAAAATATGTTTAGCATCCTGTTTTTTTGAAAAATAGGAAGGAGGAGGCCCTTTTTTCCCCTTTTTTTTCTTTCAAAATGGCCGCTCGGTACATTTTCCCTGACATTCGGGCTATTTTTCCAGATGGCGGCCGACAATCTTCTTTTTTTTTTTTTTAAATCAAAAATAGATCCATTTTAGCAGTGTTTTTCATGTTTTTTTTCTTTAAAAAAAAAAAAAAAAATCAAAAAAGAAAAGAAAAAAATCAAAAAAATCCCCCCAATAAATAAATAGGAGGCTGCCCCCAAAAAGGAAGCGGGCGGGGACGCTAAACATGTATATTTTTTTAAATGGCCTTAATCTTAGAAGTAGTAGTAGTAGTAGTAGTAGTGTAGTAGTGGTAGCAGTAGAAGCAGTGGCAACATGTATAATACATGTTGTTAGGTGCCTTGGGCGTTCCTTGGGAGTTGGGATGGATATGTGCGCATATGAAATGTGGCTCATACGATTATATCATTAACAAAGATAGAAATTTAAATAAAAGACTTACAGCTCTGTTTCTTCTTTGAGAGTACTGCTGGTTCAGATAGAGACTAAGAGCACAGTGTTCCCAACTTGTCAATTCATCAGCCCTGGCCAATGCTTTTGGATAGCCTGTAGAAAATTAAACAGAATTAAAAGCATTAATGATATATTTCATCCTTTCCAAATATAGGCCTTTTTAATGCATTTATCTTATAAGGATAATATTTTTAATCTTTCTTACATGCTCCAAAGAAAAAACATAACAATGTTACTGAATCCCAACAAGAGAAACTGGAATCTTTAAAAAGATAATAATTATTATAAAAAGAAATAAATGAAAGAAAATCTCTAAATGCCCACAGAAAATTGGCCTCTAGTCTAAAATAGAGACAAAAAAAAAGAAGCAGACAGAGAGAGAGAGAGAGAGAGAGAGAAAGAAAGAATAAAAAAAAACCCTCAAAAATACATGACACTAGAATCCATCTTTTAGGGTTACGTGTACTTTCATACAAAACAATGAACACTCAAGGTATTCTATAATCGACCTGCATGGATGCATACATGTACATTTAGCTCACTTCATATCTGAACATCAATACAAGATACAGGCACGTATCAAATTTATCAATATCAAAACCGATTGTGCGAGAAAAAAAAGAAGAAAAAAAACTGTTGTTTTGCCCCAATTTTTGGTACATCTCTGAAACACCACAACAAATTTGTCGAGCATGGAGGTGAAATACATGTAAAATACATAAAATATCTATAAATAAAATTTCACAACATGTTTGTCACTCACTCTGTTTTACTCACTAATGCTGCTGCCTATAAATACCAGATTGTTACCTTTCTTTTAATTGTTGAACAGTACCTTATTTGTCAAATAAAAATCAGAATAGTATTTCCCATTTGACCCTAAAATATGCTACAAATAAACACACTCGGACAAAAAACAACACACCTGCAATATTCTATCAGAATGGGGAGATAATCCGAGGTACACGAGTAATTACATCCTTTGTGTTGTCACAATGACCTTGATTCTTTCAACCTCTGTGCTTATTTTTAATTTCCATTAATTTCGTCTTTTTGAGGGTAGCCATGGTAGCAAGGGATGATTTTGTAACCTAGAGCTGTAAGACTACACCATACTGGATGAAACGTATCTCTGCTTAGCCTAGCTCCCAGGCTAAAGATGATTAATTTTTGTCTTCATTCACAATGCAATATAAACGGTAGAGTCTGGAGTACATGTAAACAAACGCATAAACTGTACCATCTTTCCTCACTGGTGTAATGGGAATAAAAGGTGATAGTCAAGATTAGAAGTCAGTTCCAGTCTAGTCAATCATCATAGTATCATCAGGGAACTGTACTTTGGGGATCGGGCATCAATGGGAGGAAGAAAACTCCTTACACCTGAAGCAAGGTTAATTCCCGCCTCCTTGATGATGCTGTGTTGTATACCCAAAGGGGCAATCACCATGTCTTCCATTCTCCATCTGATCCATCTCTTTCCATGAAACACATATATGTTTACATGCCTCTTTTTTTTTCTTTTTCTATTTTTACTTCACATCTACATGAAGGCCTTACCCTAGTTTTGTTCTGCATCACAATACACTTGAAATATCAGAACCAAATACTGCAAGGGGAGGCTGCAAGCACAGACTCTATTTGACAGAGCCATAAAGCCTTGAGCCTAACCTAACTCCATAAGTATCTGGCTATGTCTGGAGGAATTATAGTACAGGGCCTATGGTGTGCAGAAGATAGCATAGTATACAATTCAGACTCTGTCATGCATTAGGACTGACAAGAGTTTGAGGCTGCAAACTTGATATACTTGTGGTGGGCAATCAGCCAAAACAGCAATTTCCAATTTCACACTTACCTTTCTTAAGGTTTCTTTTGTTTGTTTGTTTTTTGTTTTTTTTGTTAGCTGTACATGTACTACTGGATGTAACTATTTTTTTCAGGCTAAGAGGCAGTTGGTAAGGAGAAAATCCTGAAATGGGCCAGCAGAATGGACATCCCCCCCCCCCACACACACATACACACTTTCATTCCGAAAGCTCTCCAGCAAAAATCTATATAGAAACACATGAACTACATGTATTTTTGTTGTGTGTGCAGAAAGCAAACTGCATTATTGTGTATTTGCATTAATACACGAGGGGTGAAAAAAGTCCATACTAAACCAGTCAAGTGGACCTTTTCTTCTGCAAATTTGCACACAAATCTCTGAAGCAGGGTTCATATTCCTTAGAGCTTATATTCTTTGAACAGCACAAATATATCGTACATAAAATACATACTGATCCATGAAAATTACTTGGAAACATTGGCATTGGGGAGCAGGGATAAGACAAATTGATGTGAAAATACTAGTGAAACCTGTATGGATGACAACATGTACTTTCATGAAGTTCAATAACCTACACCATTAGCAAACACATTCATTTACATGCATAACCACAAAATGATAGAAATAATATGACATGTGAATTTGGATTGAAACTTTCCACAATACATGCACAGATAGTGCATGCACAGATAGTGCAAAAGCAACCGTTCAATTTCCCTAGTCCACCTAAACAGAAACACTAGTTAAAGGACTGCATTTTATTTTTCGCTGGAATGGTGTTTCTATTTAAAGCTTTACCAAAGTAACATGTAAGCCTACATGTACATAAAGGCCACCTGTCAATTAAAGACTACCTACAATGTACATGTACATACTGTATATTGTGTCACCCTTTGAATACAGGTGTGACTGCACTTTCTGTGACGGGTCCTGGGATCAAGGCTCATGCGGGGCTCACCATAGGCCTAGGCATACATTATAGCATGGGCCTCACTATGATTGTACATGTAGTAGTCTGCAGACGTCTTGACAGCCCCACCCCCTCCCAGCCCCCTCCCCATGCTTGCCTCTTACACTCAGCCTACCCATAATAATGCCTTCCTTCCTGTTGACTGCTGAAATCAATGTGCGTTAAATTTAGAACACGAGCCTCACCTCACCTTCCCCCTTCACCCAGCCAAGACCACAAAACTTAATTAGTCCTCTAGAAGATCATATCCGACCATTATGTGTAGTGAACATCATGGAACCGATGCCTGCCTGTACCAGTGAACATTGTGTACCTAGCTCAATTAATATTTGTTGCCTGAGAGCCAGCAGAAGAAAAACAAAATCAGGGCTGAGGGCAATTTGCCCCCCCCCCCCCCCAGTCTCGTGAGAAGAAAAAAATATGAACATAGAGTCAGGTTAAGAAAATTCTGTCAAAGGTCTGTACTTATGGTATGAAAGCTATGAATTTGTCAGGTGTGGTATAACTTTATGAAGCACCTAACAATCAACCAGGCTGTAATGTATAAAATAGTTTGACTGAGAAAGAGCACTAAAAATAAAACTGTTTTACATCATGGCCCTGTATTATGAAGATTGATTCAAATCAATTGCAACTCTTTATAAGACGGGGGCCCCAGACTTTCCTGCAGTCTAGGTGACTGTAGAACTATCTATTCTTCCCCTGGCGGCTATCCAGAAGTTAAAACAACTCTTTTCCAGAGTAACAGCTAAAAAAAATATATAAGGGATATAATTATACTGGGTGACAATTATGACTTCCAGGAAATGTGGAGCTACTGTTCACTATGAATACCTGAATGAATCTCAGAATCAACCTACAAGTACGTGTATGATGATGGTAAGAGTATGACACAATAGCACTTCATCATCATGCTTAATACTTGTAGACCATATCAAAATTGGGAATGTGTACTGTATAAAACTGTAGTTAGGTTCACATTTTGCCCATTCAACAATCTCAATGGCCTGAATTCACAAAGGAGGTTTAAATTTAACCCATGGTTTAAATCTTCATTTACAAAACCCATCGTCTAAAAATAGCGCATCATAAGGGCTACAGTCAGAGGTCCAATATCAGAGGCGCGCAAGGCAAGGTACACTTATTTTGCACTCATGTTTAAACCATGGGTTAAGATAAATCTCCTTTGAGAATTTGGGTCACTAAGTATTAGTATTTAATGAGGCATTCATAATTACAAGAAACATACATGTACATGTACAGCCTACCTGTAAATGCAGCTATTACTTAGAAATTGTGATTATTGACTTGTAACTATAAATACATGTAACTGACAATTTGTTTAAAGGGAAAATATAATAACATTATAAATTACCAGTATTTAGAAAAATGTTGTTACATAATAGTTCAAATTGAAAGTACATCAAGTCAAAATGCTTGATAGTAGGATTCCAAGGTGCACATTTGAAAGGTTTCATCCCACATTTCCACACGGGTTGAAGACCCCTGCCCCTCCCCCCCCCCCCATTCTAGATACAGTGTTAATCATTCATTCACAGTTACATAATGCATATCTTATTAGAGTATTTCCCAATCTACATGTACGGTGTATAGTTAACAAATGGTATTCATACCCCTTGTAAATTTGATCTTTATTGTCTTTTTTGTAACTAAAAAATGAAAGGTGGACTGGTTGAATTATACAAAAAATAATTAAAACAAACTTGGTAAAGATATAAATAAATAAGTTGTGAACTGTTTATGTTCCATGAAGCAGCTACCAAAACTGAACCTTTGGTCACTATGTACAGTACATGTACATGTACAATTGACAATGTTTAGCAATATTGTGAACCCTTGAAAATATTTCAAACATTTAAAGCCTATCTGCACTAATTTGGCCAGGAGGGATTAGACCTCCCCGCATGGTCACTGACAGGTGGTCATCTAATCAAATCAGCTCTCAATTAACATAAGAAAAAGGGGACCACGGGGGACCAATGGTCACCGATTAGGCATTGTTTGCTATATAGAGGGCGCAAGTAGCTATAAGTAGTGCAGTGGGGCTTTAAAAGATTTAGGAGAGTCATTTGTCCTTGACTATACATGTAGGACAAATAGAGTCTTGTTAGAATCAAGGCCTGATGTACGATGAATTTTCAATATGATAATTTTTGTCAAATCAATATTTGTTCATGTCAATCTTTCCTCCTAGTAGTTCAATATGCAGGGCAATCAATATGGGGTCAAAGTGCATTCAAAGTGATGGCCCTAATACATGTACATGTATGT